ACAGTCAAAGGAGGTTGACATAAGCCACCATAGCAGAAAGAAGGTCCTTTGAGACTAGAAGCAAGTAAGTAAATTGGAGTTCTTATGTTGGTGTTCGAGCTGCACAGGTGTGGCTAAAATGAGCCTCTCAAGCGACTGTGCCCTGCTGCTGCTTCTGCCTCCACCTGACAGAATATACACAGCTTTATTTGAGTGAACGAACGAATGAGTGAGCTAGAGACATTCGGAAGTGAGCTGGTTTTCCAGGAATACGTACCAACAGCTCAACTGGGGAATAGCTTGAAAGTGGCAGTGTGAGGGAACAGCTGGATATGACAATTAGGAGGTAAGATATGCAAATCGGGCACTCACAGTGCATGCTTCTACCCTGAGCATTCAACTCCGGGAGCACGTGTGGCTGTGGAGTGTAGACCAGCCTGCTGTGAAGCTGGTGCTTGTATGTGTGCATGCAGAAGCTGTTAGGCTGCTCGATGCATTTGGCTTATTCATGTGGAAATTTCCTTAAAGGAATGGGTTTTGCAAGCTTTGCAGAAAACTGAGTGCTTACATGAAAACCGTGTTTTCTACTGATAGCTTGTGCTTTGATTTGAAAAAGTAAATATGGCCTTCTCGACCCACAGGGTCGGCTTCCCATCTTTCCCTCAGACATTAAAACTACTTGTAATTACCTCTCTTAAGCTGAATTCTGGAAGAATAACAGTGATTCGCAAGCATGGTAAAGTGCTGCTGAAACCCAGGGTGTATTTTACTGCTATTGTTTCCATACTCTTAAGATCAGACCCTCACTCGATGTGATAGAATAGAAGAAACGATAGTGCATTTCTAACTGACAGTAGCATTTCTTAGGAATTGTTAGGGAAGGAACTGGAAGCAAAATGGTTTTCAGAAATATAAAGATTCCAGTATAAATTCAATTTTTAAAATGCTTTTCACTCCAGTAAAATCAGTGTCATGGTGCAAAAGCCAGAGAGCTCTGCACGCCCATGCTGTTGATACAGTGGTGTTGCCTGTTATCCCCAATCTCGTACTATGTCTTGAATTCTGAAGACATTTAATTTCACCCACTTTTCTGCAAGACTCTCTCACCCACGCCTCCCTGGGGCTAACTCTACTCAAGGGCATTATGGGAAGCCTTTACCTCTGGAAGCATCAGCTGTTGACTGTTGCTTCAGGGAAAATAAGAAACTTGATGTAGGTCTCCCTGTTGGAGTGTCAAAGTTTGTGAGTTTCCCATGCATATTTCTGATACATTCCCTCTTTAGTTTATAATTTTCAATTACAAGAACGGAAAAGTCAACAGTGCAGAATAAATGTCTCTTCCATGGTCTCCTACAATGCCTAGAAATAAGAGAGGCTAAGGAAGCAGTGTGTTAGTACTGTTGCTTGAAATCTTAATTTGAACAACGGGAACTGGAACTGTCATTCTGCATGGAAAAGCCGTGTTAGAACACTGTAGAGTAACCCAAACAGCCTCTGGGGAAATCCATCCTTTTCTCTGTGCTTATACCCTTTGGAGGTTGCAAACTCATGATTCCAGGGTCTGTACAGCCCACAGATAAGATTTTTTTTGGCTTATCCACTATTTTAAAAATATATGAGTTAACTGGCTTAATGTTTTAAAATTAGAATATTTCATCAGCAAATCTGGCGTCTGGTGAAGTTGAGTAGAGGATTACCCAGTACATCCCATCGGACAATAGTTGGCTAGAGCCGAACAGTAGTGGCCCACTAATGACAATGCATTTGTCACCCCCCCCCCCCCAGCGTTCTCAGTTGTCTCACACATAGCTGTGCTCACTGGCATCACCAGCTTGTTCCTATGGACATTTGGGTTTGAATCCCACTCACTGAAAATCAGATTTGAGAACTAAACATGGTGACCATATTATTAGTTGTCCAAGTGAGGATAATCAGCACCTAACAATAGTTACATCAGGACCATGGACATAAATCAGGACTCTCTCAGAAAAAAAATCAAGATATATATACACCATTACATACATCTCAGTCCTCCTATCTACTATGAGAAAAATCAGAACAGGAAAGAGAGGGATTTGCCTGAAGCAATTCCCAAGTAAATCAATGGCAAAGCATCTCCGACTGCTTTGACTCCTAGTCCAGCATCTTTCTGATGTAACAAGTGGGATAAGTATGAAAACCAAGCTGGGCGGTGGTGGCGCACGCCTTTAATCCCAGCACTCGGGAGGCAGAGGCAGGCAGATCTCTGTGAGTTCGAGGCCGGGCTGGACCTATAGCCTCCAAAACAATATAGAGAAACACTGTCTCGTAAAACCAAAAAAAAAAAGTATGAAAAACAAATCCTCTTTGGCCATATGGATGTTTTATAGTTAATAGCTATTATAGCCAGATGTGGTGACACATATTTATAATCTAATCACTCAAAAGGCAGATGCAGGAGGATTGTGAGTTGTAAGCTAGACTGAGCTACAAAGCAAAACTCTTGTCTCAGGAAACCCAAAATGAATGAGTGAATGAATAATTAAAATTATACATGCATATATATGTATTTATGCACCTATCTATCATCTATAAATCATATAACTAATATCATGAGACAGTCTACAAATTGGTAGCTTATAGAAGGAGTAAATGTGGCCCACAGCATACCTGGTGATGCTTTAAACACTTGAGATCTGCAGGATAAACACAAGCACAGTTTCTTATTTAACTAGATACAGGACACACACACACACACTATCTGGGGAGGAAAACCGAACGAAAACTACCATTAAACATCTGATAACTGTTTTGCTAACAAACCTTGTATATTTCTCTCTTGATCATTGCCTATTATATGGTAATGAATACTAAGTATGTGTGAAAGAGATGTCTAAGATCCGAATTTCTTAAATCCTTGACCATCTGTTTATTTCCCTTGTTGAGCTTCCAAGGCATATTTTTAGAGAACATTCCGGATGAGACCACTGTGTGCTTTTAATCACGTGCTCAGATTTTGGTTCCAACTCCATCTCATCTCTTACCTAGGGAGCTGTGTAATCCTTAGGGCCACTTCTTAGCATTTTGTGAAAGCATGGGCCAAAGTCTATCATGAAAAGTCTCTATCAGGACACCTTTCTTCATGCCCATTTGGCTCTCTTTCTAAGACACCTTGCAAGTCTGAGAGTCATCTTCCCATGCCAGCTGTACAAAGATGGAGGAGGATCATGAAGAGAGTCCTTCTTTTCAAAGCTTGCTGTAACTGAGCTGGCCTAAAGCATCAGCCAATGAGAGTATTGCATCGGAATATGCATGTAGCTTTCCAAATGTGGACCTGTCTCCCTTGCAGGAGGCTTGACCAGGATGCATGTTACCATGGTACCCTCCTGCTACTGTGCAGAGTCAAGGGAACAGAGCAAGCATAGATTGCTTTTTCCTTACTCAGCACTGTCTTTCACCAGCTGCTGGATCCTCCCCTAGTGTCTCAGGGGTGACTTTCTCCCTTTGACCTTTGTCAGAGCTGCTTTTTGGGGGACTTCCTTATAGAAGAAGGAACCAATGACTTCTAGACTCAAAATACAAACCATACATTTAGTTTTCTACATTTGCTAATAAGGCTGGGAAGCAATACTGTTGTTTCTCAATGAGCAGAATACGTGTGCACAAGTTTTGTTTTTGTATGGAAATAGGACTGGGAATGGATGGATAGAAAGTTATAGCGTGCATTGTGTTTGTGTGTGGGGGGTGTTAAATCTGGACTAGTGGTACTTCTAACTATACTTCTTGTTGCATCTAGTTAAATGAGAAGATTCATTTGTGTTTATCATTTAGAATTCAAGGCTGCCAATGTTTTTAACATCTCTAGATATGTTGTGGTACAAGATATTCATAATGGAAATTCATCATTGGAATAAGCTAGAACCCTGCAGGGCTGTAGAAGTATGATGTTCAACAGCTACATGTGGTTACTGAGCCCTTGAAATGACTATGTTGTGGATACTGGTGTAAGTGAAAAAAAAAGATATTAAGTTAATTGTTTCTGTAGTACATTCTTAATGTGGTTGATAGAAAAGCTAAAATCACCATGTTGTTGGCATCATACTGTCGTTGAACAGTGCTGTTCTGGAGATGAAGAAAGATTTGGTTGTGTGCCTTAAATGTGTCACAGTGACCTTTTACCATCACAAGTCAGAGGCAAAGGGAGTTTGCTAATAAGGCGAAAACATGCAGGTTAGCTTCCTCCCTCACATCTTGTAGCATCTTATTTCCTGTACATCTTCAAGCATCTTATTTCCTGTACAGTTCTTTGCTTCACAGAGCCCCCAAGAAGCACCTGCTCCGACACCAGCTTTGAAGTGTCTATGCAATATCACACAGAAGGCAATTGGGTACATACAATGCCAGCTGTGGGCACCATATGGAAAAACCATACCATATACATATGTACAGAGTATTTCTGAAGCCAGAAGGAGGGTAGAGGAGTGTGGAACCAGTCTAGCGTTATCTCTTCATTGCCTTTGAACATTTTAATCATTGAAATATCTTTCAGCCATAAATAGAATCATGTAGCTAGTTAATTCTAAGTTAAAACCAAATATGTACTTTTGTTTTTATGTGGACATGGGGCTGTGTATGGACTGTATGAAAATGTAGATGGAATGTTTAGATACAGATGGGTTTGACTTGCCACTGAAGTGTGGAGAAGGCTGTGTGAATGCAGGGAGATGGAGATGGTGTATATCAGTCTGCTCAAGCAGGGTTTCTCATATGGAGGCAGAGATGTCCTCTTCCTATAAACCGTCAGACATAAGGTTCCTTTTCTGCTTCCATCTAGGCTGGGTGCACCCTTCCTTTGAGTGGCTTCCAGAAATGCTTGCTATAGTCATCCCCTTTGACTGAGCCGGCCTTGATGCACCTCTCCTACCACAGAGCATCCAGAGCAATGGCTCTGTGAGGTCATGGCCCTGGTGGGTGCCAGGAATTGGGCTGCATTTTCTTTGGAGTAACCTCTTTCCTTCTTCTTTTCCTTCTACTTCTTCTAGGCAGAACAGGGCTGCTTGCTGATCTCTTGCCCAGTTTTGCTGTGGAGATTATGCCAGGTATTCAATCATTTAACTCTTTGTTTGCTATCACTCTGTCTGCCTGCTTCTGCATTAGTCACTAACTATTGTTTGATTTGGGGGGGTACATTTATCTGTATAATGATTGTTGTCTTTTTCCAGGATGGACTAAACCCTTGGATAAGACTTTTGTATCTCTTCTGTTCCTAGGCCCTAAAAGAATAATGGGAATTGAGAATAAGTGGAGGCGGGGACCCAGACCCTCTGTGTTAGGCATGCAGCGTCATTGGTTATCTTGAGGTCCATCTCAGTGTTTCACCCATAGCCAGATAGTTATGTGTCCTTAAGTATTATTTATTTGTATTCCTTAGTTCCTAAATCATATGCTTACCCATTCACTATTGTGCAATCATGTTACACAGAAGTGACCTTTTGTAACATTATCAAAAATCTTTTTTAAACGTAGGAAAGACATGTCCTCTTTCCTCCTGCCAAAATATTCATTCACAGACCTGCATTACTTGTATATTTAAACACTGGAAATCCCTAGTTATCCATGAACTGTATGTCAAGATCACTTGCCCCAAATACATATATACATCTTTTCATGTAGCTTCAAGTGAAGGCACCAGCTGTACAAACCAATTTGATGCTTCACTGTAGCTTGTAATTGAAGGAGGCTCAGGGAGAGCTAAAAATGAACTATAGAAAGGTTTGTACCCATAGAAGGGACAGAAAAGTGTATAACTAGTCTTGATTTCTGCCAGGTCTTAAAGGTCTTCCTAATAGCAACAGAGAGATATAAAATATCACTGGCCACTGGTTTTGGCTTGATTGAAATTTTAAGAAATATCTAAAGTCTTCAAAGCTTTCTATGAATTCATCCAGCCCTTTACCTTTAGCTGGCCAACCAAACTCAGACTTTTCCCTTGTTGATGCTTCCCTAAGGACACAGAGAGACATTCTCTTTGTAAGTGCCCTTATCAAAAGTTCCTGCAATTTGTAAGCATTTATTTACCTTCCCTTTGACTCCAAGAACACTCTAACAGATTTATCTATCTATCTATCTATTATTGAGATGAGCTCTTGCTACTATAGACTTGGCTCATCTGGTACCTACAGTGTGTCTCAGGCTAGCCTTTAATTCATAGTAATCCTCTTTCTTGGGATTACAGGCATGCTCTACCAAACCAGGCTCCGATAGCATTCTTTTGTTTCTCAAATATTTTACCCTTAACTGCTTCTACTCCCTATAAGTTGACCTAAATCACCTGATAAACCCCTGCCTTCTTAAGTTATGTTGCTTATAAGTCCCCATCTAAAGCCTCACGTTATCTGTTATCCTCAGCAAGAATGTTCTCCACACAGCTCAGGTCAGACACAAAGCCTTCTCAGTCTCTAATAAAATGAGGTTAGCCTGGACTTGAATGTATTGCACATGGATAAGTGGGGGGCATTAAAAAAATGAACTGTTGGTTTTCTCTCTGAGGAGATGATGTCCCAACCAAAGGTCAAATGATTCAACCACTATCATAAAACTCTTTACATGTAAAAGCCACATTCTCAAGCTCCCAAATGAACAATTCATTTAATGGGAGGGACAGTTAATAACCCAACTTTAATAAAAACATTGTGTACTGAAGCTCATTATAAAGGGATTTTGGATAGATGGCTTTCAATCATTTTAGTCTTTTAGCTTTTAAAGAAAAGCACAGGTCATACAAGACTGTTCGGATCTCCAGGGACAAGGTGGACTCTTCCCAAGGCGAATAACGTAACATCAAGACAACTCACCTGAGAGTAACAGTCACTTTTATGTAAGCCAGATAGAATTTGCTTTCTTTTGAATCTTTTGGATGAGCAAATTAAAGAAAATTCATGTTCAGCCTCAGACAGAGCTATGAAAATTATAGAAGTTGACAAACACATTATCTATGTGTATTTCAGCCTTGCTATTCATCGACGCCCTGAGCCACTTAATTCTTGGCTGTACTGCCTGGTTGGCATAGTCATCCTGAGTGTGATCAAACCAAACCCATACCTTGGGCGTGGGGGCTGTGTCTTCTCTATTTAAAACTATGCCCTCCTCTCTCTCTTATTTTTCTCACTAACTGTGGATAGATATTGAGGTGCAGGAGATTTGGATCTCTGCTGTGGTGCTAATGACAGGAGAGGTGTCCCAGGGAAATAGATGAATACACATTGAGGGGGACCACATAAAGATGATCTACCCAGGCCACAGAGGCCCATAAACTCCCCGCACCTCAAGACTTAGATTTACTGATTTTGTTTGTTTGAGATCTCACATTGTAGTGTAGGCTGCTTTGATCTTCTGTCTTAGCCTTCTGAATGCTGGAACTGTAAGCATGGACCACACATAAGGCAAGAACTTTTAGCTTGTACACAAAACTTATAAAAGGTAAATACTTACAGACTCCACCAGTTAGGAGCCCAGCACACTGGACCTCACCCCCAGCTTTTGTCCCACCTTTATTCTGATACAGTCAGTAAGTGAACCTTTTCCTCCAATCAGGAACCCAAAAGTCTACAGTCACAGGACTGGCTACAAGGTGTACCTCAAGAGATACAGGTCACCTGACTCTCTTTTCTCTGTGCCCTAGCATTTGAGTTCTTTGTGAGTCTGGGGCCCCTTCATCCTGGTTAGACGTCCTTTGTTCCCCAGGTCCTTCCCACTCACCTCTTTTGCAGGGAGACACCCATCCGTGTATGCCGTGCCCTGAAGGGGGGCTACCTCGAGTAGATTTCTTTGTGCATCCTTCCAGAGTGGGTGTTTGTCGGCCTGGTGATCCTGGGGATCTTCCTCTTCTTCGTGCTGGTGGGGATCTGCTGGTGCCAATGCTGCCCTCACAGCTGCTGCTGCTATGTCCGATGTCCGTGCTGCCCAGATTCCTGCTGCTGCCCTCAGGCCTGTGAGTAGGGATCTGTGGGGTGATGTGGAGTGATCAGAAGAAATGTCATCTCTCCATCCGACAGCCATGTGCCCTGAGTTCCTCCTCTACGCCTTACCTCTGGGTTCAGGGAAGACCATTCTTGTTTCCCTCCTCGCCTCCATGCACACCTGCATGCTTTTTATCCATATCTATCATACATTCCTGATGCTCCTGGACACTGTAGATTAAAGGAAGGGCAGGATCAGAATGGTGAAGTTGTGGGGTTGAGCTTTTCATCCCATCCTCAGAGCATTCAAACAGAGAATGCACTGGTCCTTCTCCTTTGATGCAGAGAATACCCTCCTTTTATAAGTAGAGTGTAAAACCCGACTTTTGGGTATCACCCAGCAGGCACCCATATGTTTCCTTTACTCATATGATGAAAATGTCCACAACAGGGACCAATTATCATTTGGGGATTCACAGATTTAGTCTACTAGCCAAGCCCATGAAGGCATTGAGTTTGACATCCCAACCATAAACTAAATACATCTTGAAAAAGAGAGAAGTACACTCCATCTTTAAAATCTTTAGGAATGAAACAGTGTTGGAAGGAATTGAGTTACTGGCTTTGCTTTTGCAAACACAGACAGGGGCCATGTACACATACAGTGTTTGCTTTGCTCCCCCAGAAGCCCCTTTGCAGCACCCTCTGGAGGGACCATGGTGACTTATATACAAGATGGTTCCAAGTGGGGATGCTGCTGTGACAGCTCCAGATCCGCTCCAGGGTTGCTCAGTAGCAATATTCTAAACACTGTACTTCCTGATATTGCTGCCCTTTTCATGGAGCCAGAGGAATCCAAGGAAAAGTGGTTTTGGTGAGTCTAGTGAACTAGTTAAGTCTTGGAAAAATGAATTTATGTGGTCTAGGCACTCCCTTCAAAGACTGGAATCTCATGGATTTGGGGTTTGAGGGTTGTGGAGGGTGGGACTACATAATCTCTCTTGCTCTTCATCTCCCTCCACAGTGTATGAAGCAGGGAAAGCTGCCAAGTCCGGGTACCCTCCCTCTGTCTCCGGTGTCCCAGGCCCCTACTCCATCCCCTCTGTCCCTTTGGGAGGAGCCCCCTCTTCTGGCATGCTGATGGACAAGCCGCATCCACCTCCCTTGGCACCAAGTGACTCCACTGGAGGAAGCCACAGTGGTAAATGTAGTCCCAGACTGCCCCACCCCATGCTTGGCCTGGGTCCCTCCCTCATTCCCTGCTGATAGTCACAGTCAGTTCTTCAGTGATGTAGCTTTGGGAAACAGTGATCTCCATTCCAAATGTAGGACCCTTCCAGCTGAGGCAGGTATCTTTTGGAGTGCATATCAGGGTTCCCAGGGGCTACAGTACAGACATTCTGACCCCTGCTTTCTTTTTTAATGTTCTTAGTAACTAAAACTACAAAGGGAAGGAGTTTTCTACTTGAACTATGATTGTGTAGTTAAATAGTGATCTCATCCCCTCAGTTCAGGAGTATACTAGGAACTTTGAGGGACAGCAGACTGTAGACTATGGCTTCTCAAAGGAGGGAATAGATCTTTATTAAGGCAATTAGATGCTAAAGAATATGGTACTTAGAGTCCAAAAGATGGAGTAGCCGGAGTTATTACGGTCTTCATGGAGGAGATGAGATCTGAACTGGGCCAAGGAAGGATGAGGAAGATTTAGGAAACCTGTAGTTCAGTCAAATCCCAGAGCACAGATGTGAACATGTCAGTATCCTGCTTGTCGGGCTGCCTGGAAGAAGATAGAAGAGTTAATGGCTATTAGAGAGGGCCTTGATACCTCTCCAAAAGATCTGGGGCTTAGTGAAGCAAACAAGTGAGAGCCACCATGGGCAGATTGCTAAGTGGAGAGACGGCAGGTGGTGAGCGGGGAGAGGGGCTCCAAGGTAGAGAGCAAAGCTCTGACTACAATGTGCAGGTATGTTATATGAGCATCTGGTTTATGTTGGAGACAGTGGGAGTCGAAATGCCAAGTTAAATCTGAGAAATACTTTGAAAGAAATGAGATGTCAAGAAATGAAGCAAAGAAAAACTTCAGGATGAGGCCAGACAGTAGATGATTGACAAAGAGGGCTGATTAGAGGGACCATCAGCTTTATTCAGGGTAAGATGAATCTGTTCAAGTAGAGGCCAAGGGGCAAAGTAGGAGGCGAGGTAGAGAGATGTTAAGCTGTGAAGGTTAAGATTGTAAGCATCCTTGATTTAAGTGACTTCAGTCTGTATACGTGGGAGATGAGACAGGGTACCCAGCCCACATAATGAACCACCAATACCTGACTGTGGCAGGAGTAGATATCCTCAGTGAGTAATGGTGTTTGTGTTTGTCTCTTCCCTGGAACTATTAGTAGAATTCTGACGTCTGAGACTGAAAATGAGTCACAAACTGAGAAGGAAAAGCTAATGATCAAGGATGTGCAGGGAAAGCAAGAGATAAGGAGAGCAAGAGATAAGGAAAACATAGTCCATTTCAGTTGCTAATTTCTCTTTATGGCCCGTTTCTTTTTCCTGTCTGACCAGAACTCCTTCACCTTATTCTTTATTTAATGGATTAGCACAGTAAAATAAGGTGTAACAATAAACTAGCAAGTATTAAAGTATCCTCCCTTTTTAGATGGGGTTCAGGGGCTCAGGGGCTCAGGGGCTTACTGTGTAGCTCTGGCTAACCTGGAACTTGCTATGTAGATCAGGCTGGCCTTTATCTTTTCTCCATTACTTCTTGTTGTAGTTTCAGTTATTTGTGCCCATCATATTAACCAGCTAAAACTAGAAGCAGAAAAATGAATTGACAAGAATCCCAAGGCACAGTAGTTGCTGATTTGGCTGCTCACAGTTGGGTGGCATCCATGCAGGATAGAGTTCTCGTATCTTTTTGGCTGCTCACAGTTGGGTGGCATCCATGCAGGATAGAGTTCTCGTATCTTTTGTGCTGTCCTCTTTAGCACATGCTTCGTCCCCATTAATGACAGCGGTAGTTCTGGGCATTAGATACCTTTGGAGAGACAAAAGGTGTGTTTCTTCTTCGTGCCACTTTCCCCAAAGAGAGAAAATGCCTCCCAGGAACTCTTTCCTCTTCTAGAAAGCCCTTTTCCAGCAGTTTCATATGAAAATAAATTGTGTCATGTACCCATTCCTAAACCAGATAGACTTGAGCTCACGAAGACCCACCTCTCAGGCCTAAACAACTATTTGATTAGAAATGAGCAAATTCAGACTCCATTCTGTTAGCCAGGAAATAGAGGAAAGATGACAACTGGTACTGACTAGTGCTAGTCAGAAGCCATGTTATCATGACATGTGTGTCTTGTGGCATCAGGACAGAGTCATGGCCCCAGCATAGTGATGATGTTTGGCCAATTTTCATTTAATGAAGATAGATTGGGCCAATGTAGACTATTCTTTAAGGAACACAAAAATGTTAATAAATGATAATTTATAAAGACATGAATTCCACCTTTTTATATTTGTATGCTGCTTCATACATATTAGTGTAATCATCTAGCCATAGTAACTTTCAGGTTGTATTTGTACAGAACACTGTTTTGAACGTTAGTTAGGAAAGGCATCTGTGATGAGATATGTAGAAAAGAGTCTGTTAGTTACCAAATGGGAGAAGGTAAGGAGTACCCTGATTCTTTTTTCCATCATTTACAGCTGCTACCCAAGCCCTTCTCTGTTATCATGACAAAAGATAGGCTTCTCCTGGGCTCTGGGTCCATCAGGTTCTCTGCTTAATATCCACCCGTCATCCGTTTCTGCCTCTCTTCTCTCTTAGTGGCCCTTTCCTTTCAGCACTCAGAACGTGGTCAGATCTCTCCCACTGAAATGAAGCATTTGTAGGAGACCCTGGTGCTGCTTCTCCATTCCTTCACTGCTCCTTGAAGCCAGACTTCTTGAAAGTGTTTTTAATACTCAGAGCCTCTGTTTCCTTCCCTCTCACCAACAAAAACTAACTTCCATCTTGCTCCTGCCAAGCTGCCTGATTGCTAACCCTGATGCTACGTCACAGTCCTCAGCCTCCCCTGACTTCTCTAAAATGCTGGCCACCCCAGGTCAGCCTGGCGCAAGCCCTTTGGTTTGCATGGCTCTTTACACTTCAGCCCTTCTCTTATTATTAGTCTTCCAACTTTAACTTTACTAGAGACGGCACACCGAGACTCCCAATCACCTTCTCTTATTATTAGTCTTCCAACTTTAACTTTACTAGAGACGGCACACCGAGACTCCCAATCACCCTCCCTCACTTGATTCCCTACGTGTTCTGCCCTATGCTGCTTTCTCCCTGTGTGCATCTTCCTGACGTTGGTGTTCCTGCTTTGTCTGTGGTCCACTTTCCACACTCCGGCAAATCCCATCTACTCTCATGGCTTCAGCCATCATGTATTTGCTGATGCTTCCCAGTCATGATTTGTCCAGACTTCTCTTCTGGTGCTAAGTATCATATATCCAAATGTTTCTGAGTATCTCCAGCTGGATGTCTTACAGGCATTTAAACCTTAGCCTCCAGGAATCCAGTCTACTGTTTCCAAAAATATTTTTTGCTTTTCTTCTTCAAACCAGAGTCTATAGAACTTATTTTAGTGGGTAGCATCATTGCCTGCCTAGCAGCTCTAATCAGAAGCAGGAATTCCACTCTTATTCCTGTTCTTCACTTCTCAGTCACCAAGCCCTTTAGATTATACTTTAACCTCCATCTCTTCTGTAACTATCTTGGTCCTTACTGCATGGCCTTGCTTAGTGAAACTGGCTCCTAACTGTACTCTTGCTTTGCTCTACTCCATTTTATCTCGATATACCTGGAATCCATTCATCTTTTTGACTAAAGAAGTGAGTAGACAAGTAAGCTTTTGAAATGTCATTTTAAAATTAATAGAAATGTGTGCATATATACATACATATGCCTACTGTATGTACACAGAATATGCAAATTTTAAGAGTCACTTCTCCCACAATTGAGCTGCTGTCACCCTGGGGGTGGAATCAGGCAGCTGCTCCATTACCCATAAACAGCCTTACTGAGCTCATTAAGATAGGGCAGGAAGAAGAAGCCTATATCCATGGAAGTATGCTGTGGAGATGGCCTGTGCAGGTTTTCTAAGTCAGATTTGGGCTATAAATTGGGAAACTGATTGAAAATAATCCAACCTTAATTAGGTCAAGATAGCAGCTTAAATTCTTTTTTTTTTTTTTTAACCAGACAGGGTTTCTCTGTATTGTTTTGGAGACTGTCGGTCCAGCCCAGCCTCGAACTCACAGAGATCCGCCTGCCTCTGCCTCCCGAGTGCTGGGATTAAAGGCGTGCGCCACCACCGCCGGGCTCCAGCTTAAATTCTTTAATAATAGTTTTTTAGATTACAGTTTGTCATCACTGGGAGTTTTCTGTGAACTGTCTCTAGTAAAGTTAAAGTTGGAAGACTAATAAGAGAGGAGCTGAAGTGTGAGAACCATGCAAACCAAAGGGCTTGAACCAGGCTGACCCGGAAAACAGAATAAATCTCCAGTGACCCTGAGCTGAAACAGCTACAGGGAAAGCCATTTTCTAAATATGCTGGACTTCGGCCAACAGCCTAGGACATTTCTTGCTAACATACCACCACACTTCAAACAGTTCTCTTGCCTTTAAATTATAGATAAAAAACAACCTGACACCATTCCATATGGGTTTTGGTTGGTTGGTTTGGGGCATATATGCATATATTATTTTATGTATGCATATATTTATTTACCCTATAAAAGTATGAAATATATTATAGGTTATTAAGTAAATATAGTTTTTTCTCTATAAGACCTTGGATGACACCAGGCAGTGGTGGCGCATGCCTTTAATGCCAGCAGTCAGGAGGCAGAGGCAGGCAGATCTCTGTGAGTTCGAGACCAGCCTGGTCTACAAGAGCTAGTTCCAGGACAGCCTCCAAAGCCACAAAACAAAACAAAACAAAAAACCTTTGATGACTTCAAATGTGTTGTTTGGTTCAGGCTAGCTCCAACTCAGGGCAATCCTCTGGCCTCAGTTTCACATATGCTTGGATCATAGTTATGTGCCCCATGTTTTCAAATCCGGATAATCTGTAACCGGGGCTGGTAACACAAGCTTATAACCCCATCACTCAGGAGACAGAGGCAAGAAGAGCCACAAATTTGAGACCAACCTGGACTGCATAGCAAGTTCAAAGCCCACCATCTCAAAAAATTTTACAAATTTTTCCTGTCCTCAGAGAAATTAGAAAATTATAGTTTAACAGCATGCTTGCTAGAGGCTTGTTGATGAGAATAAAATGGGTAGGAAATACAGAACGGTATATAGAAAGACTGTAATGCAGTCAGAAAGCAAATCATGCTGTTGGAGAAGATCAGAAAAGGTTTTCTGGTGATTCATATGCTCTTGAGCACATATGTGACACAGAGCCAGACTCTATGGAAATGAGGGAAAAATTTAGTGCTGTACAATCAAATTTGTAGCTTATAATTTTATATAAAAATAGCCACACCCTTAAAGAGGAGAATTGTCTTGATTTTCAGCAGCTAAAACCAAATGGATGGTGCTCCTAAAGTCTGACGAGTAATCGTTTGCCTCTGTCTTTTGACAAATGAGAAGGACTGAAATCTCTGAAGGCTCCAGGCTGCTGTGATGGAGAAGTCCAAGCAGAAGTAATCTGCCGCAGTAAAGCCTCTTTATGATGCAATATTGAAAGCTCAAACTATCATCTTCCCTCAAGGCTGTAGTTACTGTGACTTCTCAGAGATTGATAACTCATGCGCACAATCTAATCTGTATCATAATGAGGAGTGTAACTTTTTCTAATGACACCAAAGACAATCTAAACTCTAGTCCAGGCTCCTCCAGCTGTTGCTCAGCATAGCTCCTCTCTCTCTCTCTCTCTCTCTCTCTCTCTCTCTCTCTCTCTCTCTCTCTCTCTCTCTCTCTCTCTCTCTCTCTCTCTCTGTTGGGGACAGCTGGCACCTAATTACAAATAGCAATAACTCCCCCTCATCAGTGACCTTTATTTTGGTGACACTGAAGACTTGCAGTAGAAGTGCTTCCCATATGAATAAGACGTGGGCAGAGCCAGGGCTGCAGGTAGAGTGAACCCCTTCCTAATGCCTGTAGCCATGATGGTGTTCTTTCCTTAGAAAATGATCAGCAGTAACGAGAGCCACAAAACCTTCTTGCTGCCTCAGGCTACCATTCAAACCCTTCCCTTCCTGGTTAAAATTCTCCATTAAATCATCCACATAGCTTCCTATGCCATACTTTGTAATCCACAAAATCTATTAGCTAGTCACAGTTTATTCATGCCTTCATTCATTTATTTGAATGTGCATGCTTTGAGTGTCTAAAATGTACCAGGCTCTGTGCTAGGTGCTGGAGATACATAGGTGAGCAGAGAAATCTAGTAATTGTCTGCTGGGAAGTTATGGCCTCTGAATTAATGCTTACAAAGAATATACTTTCCAAAGAAGCCACGAACCCTTTCTATTCCTAGACTGGGAGTAATTCAACCAACATTTAGTACTCATTATATGTAAAACACAGTCTTAGGCACATGGAAATCTTAAATCATAATATCTTCAGAATTTTTTAAGATTATACTTATCTGTATAAAGAACTTGGAATGGACCAGAATACATTAAGGCTTTATAATACAAATTCAAACCAGATGATTTTAAGTTAGGAAAAAGATTGGAACATAAAAGGCAGAATTATAAGAACCAAAGGAATCTCCTCGGCTGAGGTGGCATTTAAGATACCCCAATTCATTACGAGCACTCAAGTGCTCCACTAATTAGCTTTTAGTTGTCTTCCCTTGAACATGGAAACTGAGTCCTGATGGGTCTCCATTCTCTGGAGGTCCCTTAGTAAGCCAGCGTCAGCATGCCTGTAAGATGCCTAGACCCCTGTTTTTCAGCCCTGCACTTCATCCATCAGACATAACTGCCTTGGTACAGACATAGCAGTTCTGTGGGATAATTGCATTTTAATTGAACAGTCTGTACTTCTCTGTAAACGCCTCTGCAGAAAGGGGAGACTGTTTGGCTCGATAAATAAAATCGTTTCTGCTAGAAATTCCTTCTGCATAGGGCTTATGGATGAAGCTAACCTCTGGGAGAAGGCACCCCTCACTGCAAAGTATGTGCCGAGGACTTATTGTTTTCTAAGTCATTTCACAATTTGAGGTGGACATGGCCTGCCCAGTCCAGAAAATCTGTTCGCCTGCAAATGGGAATGTGGGTGGCTTTCTTCTTCAGTGCCTGGGTTGTGATTGGAGCCCTGAGGAATTTTATATTTTAATCTCCCATGTAAATAGCTGGAGGGGGGACTTTTGTCCACAGAGTAATGCATCCTGAGACATTAAGCATCATTTTTTATTGGATATATACACATTTCTGTGGTTTCCTTAGTTTTGTTATGTGCACCACTTTGGGAACAGGGAATGTTAGAGTGGAGTTATTCGCTACCATTTACATTCCTGCTAGCTAGAAGATAGGGCCATACTTCAGACCATACACTCTCTGGAATACCCAAGACTGCTACCCACTTTGGGCTTTACTATCTTGTCTTCTTCATCTGTCTCTTTAAAAACAAACAAAACAAACCCTATATCTCCTTCTATACTTTAGAGAGTCTGATGCCCTAATCCAGTTAAGCTTCATTCAATGAGACCACATGATTCCATGCCTGGTGCTGCCAAGCCAAATTTTCTGGTCATGTTCCAAAATTCCCCTTAGCCAAAGTTTTCCAACCACAAAATGTGACTGACAGCAGCCCTTGTAAACATTCAGCATAGTGCCTGGCAGATTGTCAGTGTCCAGTAAGCATTGTCTAACTGTCCCCAATGTCCCCTTTTCATCTACATTTCCCCCACTCCCATCTGTCCATTGTGTCTGTTACTGTCCTATCACCCTTTGGGCTGATGTTGGGCTAGACTAAGGGATATGGGGAGTGAACAACCTTTGTCTCTGACAATGTGAGTGATGGAGATGGAAGAGATGGTATTATTTCCCCTGCTTTGGTTTTGTTTTTTATTAAGCCCTGAAAATAACACCTGTCTCCAACCACAAAGCAGCAGGTCGAATTAAATTAGTCACATGTAAAATATGGCATTTCTTTTCCTAAAAGGAAAACGCTAAGGAAATAAAATGGAAGTGTGATTAGAAATCCATGTGTTGTGCAGCTTGTTTTGTGCTACTGTGTATGTAGTCTAGAATCTAATATTAGCTCTCAGGCATGCACCACCCAGCTTAAGGGATTTTTTCCCATCTCCCAGGCAACTGGAGGCTTTCAGTCTGTCTTTGTGAAGGTCTGTGATGCTTGGGGATCTGCCTTAAAGTTATGTGCACTTCTACCAAGTGACAGTGTGAACCTCATGCTGGAGAGTACATGTGCCCTAACCCCGGGAAAGGGGTATTTTTCTCTCTTTTCATTGTGAGCTTACTCCTGCAGTGGAACTCAGAAGCTATGCAGAAGTATAGCTGTAGAAGGTCAGACAACAGGAAGGAAAGTTTAACAACTGACTGAAAGAATACTGTAGTGGGGTTTGGTTGTTGAGCTCCAGGTCCTTTGTTCCGGTGGTAGAGGATCTCAAGTGTGCCTCCTGTATATAAACTGTAGTTTATTATTTCTGGATGACTCCAAAAGAGTTGTTCTAACTGTGAACCACGTCTTCTGCCTGGTAAAATGGATGGAGACCTCCTTTCCTTGCTGTTCTGTTTTTAGCTCACCCTCTGTGCTTCCCTCAACAGTTCGCAAAGGTTACCGGATCCAAGCTGACAAAGAGAGAGACTCCATGAAGGTCCTGTACTATGTCGAGAAGGAGCTGGCTCAGTTTGATCCAGCCAGAAGGATGAGAGGCAGATGTGAGCATCTGTTAGCTTCGTGTGGCCTGTGCTTCGTTCAGGATTTGGTAGCTAAAGAGGACATGGGGGAATCAGAGCTGAAGCTCTGAGTCAGCACTTTTTGTGACACCACCACAAAAAGTACCTCTGAGTACATGGAAGGGAATAGAAGGACTTCTGGTGGGAAGGATGGGACAGTCACATGCGATTCATGTTCGGTGTTGATTGCTGTGGCTTTGTGATCTGGGTTTAAAGTGCTTCATTACAACAGTCCTCTTACAACCCCATTTAAGTAATACTGAAAATAGCCACTTCAGATATGGGATGGCTCAGTCAGGAAAGTCATTGCTTGAGCAATTGTGAGGACCCATGCTCAGATTTCCAGCATCCATGTTAAAAAAAGCTGAGCTAACAGATAACATCTGTAACTCTAACTCTGAGCTGGCAGAGACAAGCCAATCCCTGGAGCTCAATGGGCACCCATTCTAGCCAGTCAGTGAACTCCAGGTTCAGTAAAAGACCCCTTCCAAAAAATAAGGTGGAGAGTACCAAGGAAGTTACTGTGCCAACCTCTTTGATTTACGTAGATGAGCACCCTCACACGCACATCTGCACAGCCAGGCATGCACACACAAGACGTGAATGTTCAGCTATCTCCAGCCTGAAGGACCCTAGTATGGAGCAACCCACATACCGACTAGCCGTGTGGAGGCTGCAATGAGAGTGAACGAACCCTGGTAAATGAATCTAGGAGAAAGAGGCTGGCAGTCCTCTGAGATGCCCAACCACAAAGATTGTGGGGTGAGCAGAGTCTGTGCCTCTTGTCAAAGAACGTTTTAATTACAAAGTCTGCTGGTGGCAGGGCCCCAACCCTTAACTTATCCACAGCCCTGGAGACTGCAGCTGACACTGCTGATTCTTTAGAGTGGGTTCCAAATTGCTGTCTACTTGAGGAGGCAGAACAGTGCAGGCCTGACTTGGATGGGCTAATTATCAAGAGGATGCTGGCAACCCTGGCAGTGAGGTCACTAGGCACTTTCTTTGAACCCTCTTCTTCTTGGAACCAACAAAAGACTTGATGGAGCTGTTGGGAAAACAGTCCCAGACTAGAGGAACTTTATTCAGATTAAGGACAACATATTCCACCCAGTTTACAATTCTAAATTCATCCTGTCTGTGTTGCAGCCATTGCTGCATCCTCCCACCAAACTGACTATAAAAAGACCATCTCCAGATTGGGATGTCAGGAATGCAGATGTCACTGCACTTGACAAGCTCATTGTAACAGTGTTGTCATGGATCTCTGTAAGGGGACAGTGACAGAGATCCTAGATCAAGGAGAAGCTGGGGCAAGAAATCTACCAGTATCATGGCTTAGAGAAAAAGTTAGTAACTAGGACCAAAAGTAAAAGATGGACTTGAGTGTATGTGATGTCTCTGGGCTTGACTACCTGGATCCAAACTGTGTTCAAAAACTGGCTGGTCTCAAAGTAGTGGAATCTTAGAGTTGAAAGGGATCTTAGAGATGGTCCGTGTCAACCTGTGCAGTGCTCTGATGAGGCAGCAGAGGGCTTGGTAGTAATGGATTAAGAAGAATTTAGGTGGTTCCCAATCTTGTGACTTATATACAAAAGCTTTTGAGCTAAGCTGAGATTGGCCTCCTTGCTGTAACACATGTTGAGACTATATGGTAGTTGAAGGTTGAGACCTTGAGGTAATTGTTGACTCCACCTCCTTCACAGAGGAGGAAATGATCCAGGGAGAGAAAATAACCAGTGACAAGACTAGAACCCAAATCACATAGTGCCTCCAGATTGACAGTACAACTGTGTTGAATGACTTGAGAATATAGTTCATTTTAGAGGTTGGTTCTGTCCTGAATAGCAGAGAAAGGCCCAGAGCAGGTAATTGTATGGTCAGTCTAGAAAATCTCATTATAAAGTAGGTATCTTGGTTTCACAGATTCTGTAAGAATTGGGTGTTTGAGGTCCAGGTTCATGAATTTGTTGGCCACTGTGATTCTCCTTTGAGTTACCCTTGTAAATGGTAGTTACTCCTGGATGTTTACATTCTTGTAATGTCTAGAGCAGGAGTCTGCAAACAATATCTCCTGGGCACAGGCATTTCAATTTCCGTTTTTTAAAAGTTTTATTGGAATGCAGCCAGGCTAATTCACTTACGTATCTTCTATAACTTCTTGTTGAATGGTGGAATTGAGTGGTTATAACCAGTTTGGCTCACAAAGCCTAAAATTCCCTGCTTGGTCCTTTACAGAAAATGTGTGTCCTAAACTGGCATTATTAGATGTCTGTCAAGGGTTACATTCATGTTCACCTTGGCAGAAATTTTAGTGTGGCATATAATCTGAACAGCTTGTTACTAGGGGTGGTCAGGTAGTAATAGCACTTACAATCTGGTGAAATGAAAATGTCAAGTATTACCTGAAATTTACAGAAATTTCTGAGCCAACAACATTGCTTTGCAGTGGTTTCATCAAGTGTGTTTTAAAACCCTTTTTGTATGCTTACTGAAATTCATGGAATTGTGAGGGAGTGTTCTAGATTTTAATCAGTAGTCTTTGAGCTGTTTACTTTTAAAATAGGCATAATGGCTGAAGAGATGGCTCAAGAGTGTTAGATGCTTGCTGTGCAGGCATGAGGACCTACCTCAGTTTGGATCCAGATATCTATCTATGTCAAAATCTGGACATGATTGCTGTTTCCAGGAACCCCAGCTCTGTGAGGGGGCAGAGGCAAGAGGATCATTGGGGTTTGGTGACCACCAGCCTAGCTCCAGATTTGGTGTGAGAATAAGGTGAACACAAAAGGTTCTCTGGCTTCCATAGGCATATACATAGGCATGCACCACACACACACACACACACACACACACACACACACACACACACACACACACACAGAGAGAGAGAGAGAGAGACATAGTTTATTTCTTTGAGAGATAGATACGTTTAAATTTTATCATAATTCAAAACCAAATAACCCCATGAGTAAATTGCCATTCCTGTGTGTTCTTGGTAAAACAAGACTAGGAAGTCCTGCTGTTGTACAAAGTCCCTCTGCTCCTCCCAGTGTCACTGGGATGGAGGGAAAGCAGAGGGAACCTGAGATACACATCGCTGCATTCCTAAATCTAATCTTGGCTTACCTTTCACTCTGCAGCAAGGACTTGAAACTAGTAAATGTTGCTTTTAATAATATTTTTGAAGTCTAAGTGAAAAGATTTAGAAAACAAGTGGATCCAGTTACATTGAAAATAGGTTCACTAGATTTGTTTTTTAGATAAAGTGAAATTCAATATATTTCTAAGTTCTGTAAATAATCAAATTTTCTGTTTTTTTCCCAGTCTAGATCAAAACTTCTGGTCCTAGTCCATAAATGCTTCTGCACAAAGCCACTTAGGGAACAAAAAAGCTGTGACTAGGCACCTTTCTTATATGTTTAGGCTGGGGCCAGAGTTCAAAGTACAGCCCAGTGTAGACGCAAAGGTGAAGTCCATCCTCCTTATCTCCAAACTTCTAGCCAGGCCCCAGGTGACCACACACACGGAAGGGGGAGGGGGAAGACCTCAGAAGCACATCTGGTGCTACTTGAACGGGGTATTGTAGGTCTCTCCATGAGCATGATCTAAAAGGTAAGCGCACTGAAACCAGGCACATGCATACTCTTTGGGGGCTGGGATGGCAGGAGAGCAGAATGGGGCGTCTTCTAAAGTATGGTGGTGACACTAAAGCCCCTTTCTTGGGACTGGGCCAGCAGTAGGGAAGATGCTATGATGGATGGCTTCTTCTCCCTCTTTGTCTCTTTTGGCCCAACATGACTAGGATCATCAAAGTTCATCACAGAAATTATACAGGGCAGAGAAAAACATTTGAACAAGGATGATGTACCAGGAGGCCAGCTGCATACAGCCTGGGTTCTGGGAAGCCTGCCTTAGGTGGAACAAAGACAATTGTCTTCCTATTCCAAGAACAGCATGTAGGAAGCCTCCCTCTCTGTAAGCAAGTTGGGGCTGGAGCCAATTCCTGCTGAGCTAGGAACACAAATACCACCCCTGCAGATCTACAGCAAGGCCCCAGACGGGAATTTGTGAAGTATTCAGTCTCAGCCCTTAACAGCATTCCCTTCCCAACACGTAGAAAACTCTGTGATGCCTGCTTCTGTCTCTGCAGATAACAACACCATCTCAGAACTCAGCTCCCTGCATGATGATGACAACAATTTCCGTCAGTCTTACCACCAGATGCGGAGCAAGCCGTTCCCCATGTCTGGGGACTTGGAAAGCAATCCTGACTATTGGTCAGGTGTCATGGGAGGCAACAGTGGGACCAACCGGGGGCCAGCCCTGGAGTATAACAAAGAGGACCGAGAGAGCTTCAGGCACAGGTGATGGCCGGCAGTGGGCAGGAGCCACCATGTGTTTATTCTAGGCTATTTTCCCACATCTCTTTCTATGTATATGGAATATCTCTTTCTTACATAGATTACACCCTTGCGTGCGTGAGAAGTAATCGTTGAACGCTTTTTGAACTGTGTGTCTTAGGCCCCTTAATGAATTCAGACATTGCTTTCTTCATCTGCTTTATCCTATAACCTTTAAAGATTCCCACCCGTTGTCTCCATGGTCATGCATCGTACTAACATCCTTATAATCAATCTGTATACTTCTAAAAGGCAGCTACTGTGAATGCCCCTATTTTAAGGCAAGGCAACAGAAAGTTCCAGGGGCTAAGGAATTTGCCCAGGGTGATAAGCCCAATCAACATTTAACAATTTGTGGGATGCCTTCCTGCCTGCCTGGCACCTTCACCCATCATTTGCCCTTGAAGGATAGAAGCCCCCCTTCTTTTACCCGCTGCAGAGGTCTTTGACCCCCTGACTTTTTTTTTTTTTTTTTTTTTTTTTGTTTTTACGAAACAGGGTTTCTCTGTATTGTTTTGGAGGCTGTCGTTCCAGCCTGGCCTCGAACTCACAGAGATCCTCCTGCCTCTGCCTCCGGAGTGCTGGGATTAAAGGCGTGTGCCACCACCGCCCGGCTGACCCCCTGACTTAATTGGTAACTTAGTCCTTGGCTTTGCACCGTCCTCTGTATGTCATCAAATATTCCAGTCTCCTGGGACCAGAGCGGTGTGTTGCTATTTGCTGTGGGCTGTTGAGGGTGGGTGAAGTGTGTGGCTGTGGACCAAGGGTCTCATCATGATCAAAAGGTGACCTGTTTTAGCACTACACAGAAACAAGCTACTTGGAGATTCAAAACTCCATTCTGATCGTTCACACAAACTCATGAAAGAGTTTGCTGAACATGTGGTATGAAAGGTGCCCAGGTGACTTATCTCTCTGAGTGGAGGGCAGAGGCTGGGCCTATGGAACGCCGGTTTCCCTGCAGACATAGTAACCAGTGACCATCTGCCTGCAGCCAGCCGCGCTCCAAATCCGAGATGCTGTCACGGAAGAACTTTGCCACCGGCGTGCCCGCGGTGTCGATGGATGAACTGGCGGCCTTCGCAGACTCCTATGGCCAGCGGTCGCGACGCGCCAATGGCAACAGCCACGAGGCGCGGGCAGGGAGCCGCTTCGAGCGCTCGGAGTCGCGGGCGCAAGGCACCTTCTACCAGGATGGCTCCCTGGACGAGTACTACGGGCGCGGGCGCACTCGCGAGCCGCCGGGAGATGGGGAACGCGGCTGGGCTTACAGTCCTGCGCGTCGCCGGCCGCCCGAGGATGCTCCGCTACCGCGCCTGGTGAGCCGGACCCCTGGCACCGCGCCCAAGTACGATCACTCGTACCTGAGCAGCGTGCTGGAGCGCCAGGGGCGAGCCGAGAGCACCAGCCGCGGTGGTAGCCTGGAGACACCGTCCAAACTGGGGGCTCAGCTCGGCCCGCGCAGCGCCTCCTACTATGCCTGGTCGCCGCCTGCCACTTACAAGCCCGGGGCCAGCGAGGGTGAAGATGACGACGAAGCAGCAGACGAAGACACGCTGCCACCCTACAGTGAGCTGGAGCTGAGCAGGGGACCGTCCTACCGGGGTCGCGACCTGCCCTTCCACAGCAACTCCGAAAAGAGGAGGAAAAAGGAGCCCGCCAAGAAAACCGTGAGGATGCACCCCGAATCCTCCGGAGCTGGGTGGGGGTTGTGGGGGTGTCCCATCCCCGACACACATACACCCCCGACACACACACACACACACACACACACACACACACAGAGAGAGAGAGAGAGAGAGAGAGAGAGAGAGAGAGAGAGAGAGAGAGAGAGAGAGAGAGAGAGAGAGAGAGAGAGAGAGAGAGAGAGAGAGAGAGAGCTTTGGATATCACTCTCTATGTCAAAGAATTTCTGTTCATCGGGTAACCTGCCTGCTGGGCATTTTGTTTTCTCCATTCTAAGCTGAGCTGCCTTGCCTGCCCACCTTCCTCCTGTCCTTCCTTTTCAGTGGAGCTCAAACCCAGGGCCTTGCTCGCTCGCTCTAGACAAAGCACTCTACCACCGAGCTACATCCTCAGCTCGGGGTCTCTTTTGAGTATGCAATATGGAGAGAAGTCAATGCGCAAGTCACAGGTGTGCAACTAAGTGCCTGTTCTTGAGCTAGAGAAACGCCATAGCCAAGGTATCATGAGCAAGGAAGGAACTTGTAGGTGGCTTCAGGTTAATGGTACACCACCCACACTTAATACTGTAGGGTTCTGTCATTATTTTTCAGACAATGGAAAATTATTCGTTGGTCATGGGACCAGGCTCCATCTGAGGTATATTGGCTTTAGCATTTCTGGGCTTTGGAATAATCGCCACATGTCTAACAAAGTCCTGAGTCAAGGTGCGCCTGGGTTTGAGCAGGTTCCCAACTCTCCCAGTTAGCCATTTGTTGTGTCTGTTGCTCTATGAGCTTGGGCTTTAATGTGGGTCTCTTTCTGCTTTTCCCTAGAATGACTTTCCCACCAGGATGTCCCTTGTGGTCTGATGGTTTCAAGACACCTCTCTGGATCACTAGAAAGCAGATGCAGACTTCCGGACGAGACACAAATCTGAGAGCCAGCAAGCCTAGGACCTTACCAGCAACCACCTTGGAAGATTTGCTAATCTCTGCTTTGGCAAGGGATAGGAGGCACCCTTTAAGGATGCTGATTCCAAAATCTAGTGCCCATCTAGCCTGAGAAACTTATCAAGAAAACAACGATGTGTAAGAACATACTACATAATAACCCACAGGGTTTATCTTGCCCCCCTCCATTTCCTTAGCAGAATCAAGACTCTGTGTCCAGTTTTGAAACAGGTAGCTTTGAACCCCTGACCTCTAGAAATTATCTATGCTTGCAGTCTGTTTTTCTACAAGTGCTGTTCTGTGCTTAGAGGCAGAAGAATTTATTACTACCGTTAGAGGACCCTCTGCTCACAAAAGAGATAACTTCAAGGTAAAATGTACCTTTTATCCCTATCACTTCCAGTCATTGGTCAATGAGTCTTGTTATGCTAAAATCAGAAGGCTTTTGGTGAGCTTAGTGGCAGTGACCTCCTGGGCAATCACAGAAATGACTTCAATTTGCTGCTCTGACTCACAGTTCTTAAGTGGCTCGGACAAACAGAGGCTAGCATTTTGAAATGCTGTCTAAGTGGTCTCTCTTTTTCCATTCAGAAAACGTAGGCTGGTTTTCATCCTTCTGTTGTGCACAGTGACATCCAAGCCTTGAATCCTAAGGTCTCTCTCTCTCTTCCTCTCCTCTCCTGAACTTTTCAGGGGCAGTGCATCTGAGGGTGTTCCACTCCACTCTGCAGTGTGAATAGCTTGTCATCAGGTGTCTTTGACAGTTGTTTAAAACACACACATGAAAGGGAAGGAGAAAAGGAGACAACAGTGAAGCAAGATCAAAAATGGGAAAGAATTGGAAGGAAAATAATATATAGTCTCATTATATCTTGAGTTTGGATTGTTTTCCCCACAAACACTCAGGTTTTTTTTATTGGATTTGTACTTCATTTAAAGATTATTTCTGCCATCGTGATTCTGCCACTGCAGGGCACCAGGGATGTGGTGTCAGCTTCTCTTGGCCTCACTGGCCTGCCACCATAGATGCTTTGAAGTCAAGAAAGACACTGATTTCTAGGCAAGAAGCACTTCCTCTTCCTACCCTTGCAGAAATAATTGGTTTTTACCTAAATACCAAATTGAGAAGGCTCTGGACTTTGTCATGTGTGTAAACTGCCAAAGTAGCCACAAGTTCTTCCCTTCTCAAGTTCCTGCGCATGGACTTTGTCCTTTCTTGCTTCTCACGGGCCCTACCAAATGTACCTGAACTATCTATCCCACATGTCGAGAGAAGAGCCTGGCCACTATTGTCATTGTATGTGACAGTTTTACCAACTCATCAGACACAGAAGAGCGTCTAGCCACAACCAACAAATGAACTGCCTAGCTGAGCCGAGCCCAAACTGGGGGTTCCCACTTGAGAGAAGTTTGGTACTCCTATGTCTCTATTAATCATCAAGGATAATCCCCCTCTCTTGTCAGAATATTTGACCCTGAATCAGTTACTCACCCAACCTTAGGTGTTATGCAGCCTTCACTTTCTTTGAGAGACTTTGCAGCCTGTATTCTTGTGGCAAGACAATGATTGGGTAAAACGACTGAAAGAAAATGATGCTTGACATCCCATAATCCAGCGGTAGTCTCTTCTCTACTTACTGGTCTATGTGTAGCCTTTGAAGAAGGTTGATCAGAATTTCCAGGGTCTCCAGATGGAAATTCCAGAGTCTGCTCTGGTAGCATCCATTGTTCTTCATGACATTTCCAAAAAATGTCCCGTGTGTGTGATGTAAGAAGCTGCCCGGCGAAGGTTGGAAGGATAAGCTAATATCGTTGCGTGGAGAAGAACTGACCTGCCAAGGATGTCACAGTCGCTTTGGCCTGCCCTTAAATGGAACAGAACGTTACTGCAGCCCAGTGCTGGCACTTCCAAGGGCTGGAAGACAAAGCCATAACTCTGGTGCTGAGTTCTAGGCTTGCTAGTGTCCCTGGCCTCAGAAAACCTACATCTGTTGTATCTGTTTGGGCTCTAAATCAGCATGACAAAAACATAATTTCTTAATCACCAGCTTTTGATTTCAACTTGCTCAGGCACTTTTGAAGAATATTGGATAGCTGCGGTAGCTATTGTTATACTGAGCACTGTGTCAGGCTTCTTACCACCAAAGAGCCCCATAGCACAGGCTACAGAGACCAAATATATTGCTTTGTAAAGCCAGGGGCGTGTGTGAGCTTGGTGAAAGCTGAGGGGAGAAATAGGAAAAAACTGTTAAAATTGGAAACATAAAGTTCCAAAGGCAACATGACTATAGGCCGACAATTAAAAAAAATCAATGTAAAGATGATAACAGCCTTTTGAAATAAGTGGGAAGGGGACCACAGGTTGCTCTTTGTGGGTCTGCATGAATCATTTGGGCTTCTAGGCCTTCAGTAGGGAGAGAAAGCGGTTGTTTCTGGGTATGTGGATAGGAGATAATGCTGGATGGAGAAGCGAAGCTGGCTGTCCTCTGTGCCCTTGGCTTTTCTTTTCACATCCCTTTGTTTTTTCTCCAAATAGTGTGTCTTGCATAGGAAGTGCCTATACATATTAGTTCCTTTTCTGTCTTTCTAGGGCATAAAGCAAGTCTGGTATAAGATGCGATCTCCATCCACTTGAGTCCCTACAGTTTAATAAGGAAGCTAAGACATGCCCAAGGAAGGATAAGGATAGTTTTATGCATATGATAGGAAATAGTGCTATGGATAAATTATAATAAACCCAGAGATTTAAATTTTTTTAAACTTAAATGGGAATATTTTGATATTTAAGTGTTGTGTTTGTCTACCCATCCCATTTTTTTAAGGACATGCTCAGTGATCTGCAAAGCCAGGCTGTAAAAATCTGAGCTGAGAAGAGGTGAAAGAGAATGGAGATGGATGAGTGTCAGGGGGCCTGGAGGGCTGGTGCTGGGGCTCCTGTCTTTGCCTGTGAGTCACAGCTGAGTCAGGGACAGGCTGGAGGAGGGAGTACGGAAGCAGGTGGCAGGAGGTGTCCTGCTGTGTTCAGAGTTCTTCTCTAGGCCATGTATAGACTCATTAGGAGACTGAGGACAGTTCTTCCACCCAAGCAAACCCAGGGGGAACTCAGTATCCGGTCCTCCCGGCCCTCCTATCTACAGCGTGGGGTGCAGTACTTGCACAAATGCCAGAAGTCTCACACAGGCTGGGCATCTCATCTCACTTCTTAGGACCCCCACTTTTCACTTGTGGGGCTGGGCACACCAGGGTGAGCAGGGGCTGCCACTAAATATAAAAATCTGGTTAGATCTTCAACAGTCTTTGAGAAGAATGAGGTAACCAATGCTGCTTTAGTTCATCCACTCCCCACCCCTTTTTGAGTAGATGGATAAACCGTCACTCCCATAAATGAAGTCACAAACCTGTCCGACCTTTAGATTCCCAATATTTAGGCTTTTCGTGTTGGATCTGTATTTCCCAAAATTGACTGGCCATAAGAATTACTTGAATTATCAGAGGACTCGAGTTTGGTTCCCAGCACTCTCATGATGACTCACAACTGTCTGTAACCCCAAATCAATTCCAGGGGACCCAATGATCTCTTAGAGCATCTGGGAGTGCCATACTCACATGGTGCACTTACATGAAGGCAAAACACAACATAAAAATGAATACATTCTTAAAAGTAAGAAAGGGGGCTGGAGAAGATGGCTCTTATGGTCTCTGCAGGTGCTGCATACATGTGGTGCACAGACACATGCAGGCAAAATGCACACTTGAAGAAGAGATTTAAAAATACTTGGTAAATAATTACTTGCCTGGAGAGCTGGGAATTGACTCTGTTGGTAGTACTTACTTAGTGTGCACGAAACCCCGATTCAGTGCCAACACTGTGCAAACTAGCAGCAGCAACATGTGCCTGTACTCCCAACATTTGGGAGGTAGAGACAGGAGCTTAGAAGTCCAAGGTCATCCTTGGCTACATAGTAAGTTCAAGGCTACATGACACCCTGTCTTAAAGAACCAAACAATAAATCAAAAACACAAGGATGACTTGACTGCCACTGTAAAAATGTTGTTGGGCCATGCCTTGGAGAATGGATGGGTGGATCTGGAGTAAAGATTTCTGCTCTGAACATGTACTTTCAGAGAGCCCTGTAATAGTTACCTTTGGGTAGTGTTACCCTGAACTGCACCTCTGGTGCACCCCTAACTGCTGGCTGTAAGTATTTGGGCTGTAGATTATTTTATTCAAATATCAAGGTGAGGTCTCTCTGACTCCCTTGGTTCTGGCACTGATGAGGCACCCAGCAGCCTGGCTGTACCACTGGAGACTGGCTCACCACAGTCCAGCTGAAAGAAAATATTCAAAGGGAGAGAGTTGGAAGTCCTCCCCAGGAGTCTGCTTGATATGTTCCAACCCCCAGAATAGTGATCTGTTGTGACAGGCTCAGATCAGACAACAGGAATTACAGGTAATTTTCTTATTCCCTTGATGTCATCCTGAATAAAACTTAGATCATGAATAGAAAGAAGAAAACCATTAGGGAAAATGGCAAATGTAAATCATTTTTAAAGGGTACAAATTAACAGCCTCGCTAATAATGTAATTTTCATGTTAGGATCAAAGGCGGGGTGGAGAAAAATAATAAGATATACAACATTACCCCTTCCAAAATCAGATTTAATTGCTGCCAGAATCTTATGAGAGTTTAGAAGTGATGTGTAGAAGAGTTTAGAAACCATCCATGGAAGGTCTAAGGTCCTAGAAGCAGAATAGTGCCTAGTTTTCCCTGCCAGGACCCTATCTCCTGGTCATGTGGGATGATGATAGATGCAAAGGCCCCAGTAGCATCAAAGAAGTTGAGTTGCCTCAAGCAACTGAGGTCAGCATTGCTGGGGTGATATGGTCAGTTTTTAATGCTATGTGCATCACTCTTGTGATACACTGCTGTTTACAGACCATGTCCACAAGCATTCTCTCATTTGTTCTTCACAGCAAGCCCTGTGATACAGACAGGGCAGGTGTTCTCCCGGCATTCGGAATGTGGAGCCGAGGTTGGATATGCCAAGTGACTAGCCCGTTGTCTAAAGGCTTTTAGAGTCTTTAGATGGCCTTCTGACTGTCTAGGGTTCTTTACAACCTGTGCGGTACTCACAGGCCAAGACTCCGGCTTGTTCTCTTCACAACCGGATGTGTAATGAGGAGAGTCCTGCACTCAGTGGTGAGGATTAGCCATGAAGACTTTCGGCATTCTGTTCCTAGAAGTCTGCCCTGAGGTGGGGTGCATCTTTGCTGGGAGAGTTTCATGCTGAGCACCATGCTGTGATGGGGAAGGTTTTGACAAATATGTTGCAACTTTCTGGATTCTTCTCAAAGATGAATTTCTAAGCCAAGCTACAAGTTCATCCAGGCTCAGAATTCCAGGGTTGTGGGCAGGAGCCATCATCTTCACTATATTTTTAGTTTTTTTAAAGGTGGAATTGAGGATCCAGGTCTAGAGGGAGACAAAGAAGGTGAGGAGAGAGTTGTAGCAGTTGAGACAAAAGTCTTGTTAGAGTTTTTGGTGGGGCTTACTGGACAGGGGGTAAATGTGGTCCTATTCCTTTTATCTAGAAGGCTGAGACAGATGTCCATAGCTTCTCTCCTGCCACATATATTAACAAAGGTGTTAGGCACTACTCCATGAGACATTTCCTTGTGAAAATAAAGAATGTGACTTTAAAACAGTGATGTGAAGAGAAGACGCCTACTTCACAAGAGTCACCTGCCCAGTTGTTTTTGTGCCTTGTCTGTGACATCAAAACTGAAATGTTTGTGTCACTGTTGCCCATGATATTTTCCTATGTCAGACATACAAAGTGCATTCGATTGTAATGTTTTAAAGTAAATAAAGCATTTTCATCTACTTTTGTTATATTCAGCATCATTATGGTTTGTTGTGATCTCATAGTAAGTGTTCTCTCCAAGATAAAGAATCATACAAAGTCACAATGTGTGGAAGTGGAATTATGAAGCCAAGTACTGATAACCTAATAATGATACAGTACACACTCTCCAGAGAATGGTCAGAATAGTCTAAGTGCTATATTGTAGAGGCAGACACAGCCAGCTACTATGTGTTCTAATAGATTTCAATGAGCTGGGTAAATTCTGTTGGCACTCACGGCCGTAGTATTCAGGGCACAAGGTAGACATGGTAGTTGGATAATGATGATATCTGACTCATTTTCAAGAGAGTCAGCATTTGCCCGATAGAACTTACATTTGGGGAAGAGAGGAGGGAAGCCATTTGTGGGAGGACATTTTCATTTCTAATGAGATTTGAGAAATTCCACAGCACCATAATTAAGGGAAGGCAATAAAAACCCTTTGTAAGCATAAACAGGGGTAACTACCTTGGGAAGCTATTAATCCCTTTGATGGCCAGGGTCTGCCAAGGGATTCCAGAAAACCCATCCTTGCTTAAAACATTTGGGCTTAACTCTCTTCTTTTAGTAATTCTATTAAAATATTCCCACATTGATTTAATTTAAAATTAGATTCTAAAGCTGTTAGGCTCTTATACCTCTTCTGGACTTCCTTGCTCTTTGGTTAATGTTTTAACTCCATCTTGACTTTTTCCAGCCCTTGTTTAAATAAATATATATATTTATATATAATATATATTATATATATAATTATATATATATAATTTCTCAAGTATGTTTAGAATTACCCCTACCCACTTCCCCCCTATATATCCTCTCTGGATGCATTTTAGATTTATTTGTAAACTGTTTTTCTTCTTGAAGGACGTTTTCTTTTGTGCTGGTCCCTTGATAGGATATGCTGCTGGTCTTTGTTGATCTCAGCCAAAGTGTTTTTGTTGTCATCCCTGAAAGGGACTCTCACTCATAAGTTACTTTCCATCACCAAAATGAAGTCACTGCTCCTCTTCCTCCTGATGCCCAAGGTGGCCTTTGAGAGATCAGTCACCTGCACAGCTGTTCTTTCTTTGTCAGCAGCCTACCTGGTTCCTCTGGCTTGGTGTCTTTCCTGCCATGTCTCCCAATCCCACCCACCTCCCTCCCCCACCCCAAATAAAACACAGCAAAACCGAAGAGGAAAAAAGGGGGTAAGTGGGAGAAAGGGAAGATCTCATCACGGAAGCCGCAGTGTGGCATGGTGAGTCACGTGGTAAACCTCTTCATCCACACATCTTTACATGCAGGCACTCATCACAGGGAGTCCTTGGTCTGATCTGAGGCCCCTGGTCTCTGCTACACCATCAGCTCTGGGCCCTCACTGGGACTCTTCCCGGACATCCTGCCTCTGGCCACTTTCAAATTTGCCCCTTTGTCTATAGCGTTCTTAGGTTTTAATGAACACATCACTGTGGGTTTCTTCGTATTTATTCAAACTGGGACTTGTGCTTCCCCAGTCTGTGGGTTGGCTTTTCGTCAAATATAGAAAACTTTAAGCTATTAACACATCAAATATTTCATCTTCAAACTCTCTTTTGACAAATCCAATTAAATGTTAACATCTTTTTGTTCTACTCTCTGTACTTCTTAATATAGTTCTTGTGTTTTCTCTTTCCTTGTCTTCTGCTCTCTATTCTGGGTAATTTCTTCATGTTTATATTACAATTCACTAATTTTCTCATCAGCTGCTTCCAGTCCAAATTCTAACAAATTTATCAGTTCTGGATATTCAACTTAGCTCTTTTTACAAATCCATGTGGTCATTTTGATAGTGTCACATCTTATTCTTATGTACAGTTTCCTTTTTATTTCTTTGCAACTATCCACAGAAATTTTACAGCCCATATCTCAATACCTGCATTGTTTGTACTTTTGATTTTAACTGTTGCTCATGATTTCTGTGCTTTTTTCTTTTATTTGTGAACGTGTGTGGTGGAATATCATGATATTTCAGTATCGGTCAAGAAAGACCTTTCTTACTTTTTCATGTACCCTGCTGCCCCGAATCTATATATACACAGCAACCAGAAAGTCTAAGGCTTAGTATTTTAAAAAGAATACTAAGCTAATAAGGGAGCTTGACTTTACATGTGGACTTTACATTTGGATATTTATAAGAGAATGACTACTTAAATAGGCACATGCCTTTAATCCCAGCACTTGGGAGGGAGAGGCAGGTGGATCTCTGCAAGTTCAAAGCCAGCCTGATCTACAAAGCGAGTTCCAGGGCAGCCAGAACTGTTACACAGAGAAATCCTGTCTCTGAAACAACAACAGCAAAATAAGGAAAGTCTTGACCTATCATAGCCCTATCGTATGAGATAGAATAAGGAAAAACGCAATTATCTATTTTCATTCACTTTGGCTAAATCCATTCCAAGTTTTTATATACTTTTAATTCAAAGAAATAAGAAATAGCCTGGTTTCAGATTCTCTTGGCAGAGGCATTTCTCCTAGCAGAGACATTCTAATTCTTATCATACTACGTAGGTGAAAGTTCCATTCTTTGCTGAATTGGTTTTAAGATTTCTTGAATGCCTTCCAGGTGGCCTTAGATGACTCACCCAATATGGCAGGAACAGAGGAGCTGGCAAGTCCATGCAAGGGATGTTGAGTTAGGTTGACTCGCCATCTAGTGGCATACGTTCACCAAAATGCCTGAATTTCTTAACTTTCCAGTAGTCAACGCGCTGGACAGAGGCAGTAGTGCAGGGTGCTACTTAAGTGGTATCTTCTTTAAAAAAAAAAAAATATATATATATATATATATATATATTATGGAAATTTTTGAACTCAGAAACCACTCAGCAAAGCTTACCACTTCCACATGAATAGCTCCTGGTACACATAAAATGGTTTGCTAAAAGTGAATTCACACATCTTCCTTAAAATTTAATTAATTTTAATTTAATTAAAAAATTTAAGAACTTCATACATGAGCACTATACATATATCACTCTTTCTCCTTCCTCCCACCATGTTCCCCTCTCCCAGATTCATGATCTATAATTACCGTTGTACACACACACATTTACACATGCATATACGCCTACTGAGTCCATGTAACATTGCTCACATTCACATGTCCAGGTGCCACTATAGTATTAGCACATCTTGCAGACAGAGCATCATTTATAGATTGCAGGGTTTGTGGCTGCATTTGTTCTCACCTTTCTCCTCTTGCAGCATGAAGAGCATCTTCTAGTACCATGAATACTAGTCTGTAGGGTCAAGGCTGTAGGTAGACACTAGCTTGACTTCTCCACATTCAATAACCATGTTATAGAGGTGTTTTGTTCAGCAATAGAGCCTTACCCTCAGTTTGTGAAGAGCAACCAAGAGCCTTGGCAATAGCCTGGGTTGTTTGGGGTTTCCATGGGGCCCCTTTGGCCAACAATTTGACTAGATGTAACCCATTCCTAGTACTGGAAGCTTCATTTGGTGATGAGAGATGTCCAATTGAGGCTCCATCTGCCCTATTAGGTGTTTCCATTTAGATTTATTTCATATGTGTGTATATAGGTTTCCAGTTGGCTCTTTGGATAGCCCTTAGTTTTAGCTGTCTCACTTTGTATTCCCTCCCTACTCCTTTCTTTCCTCCCCTCTGCATTTGATGCTCTCATTCAAGTTTTGTGTATGTGTTGATTTGAATATAAATGGCCCCCACAGGTTCATATGTTTTAATGCTTAGTCATTAGGGAGTGACACCACTTGGAAGGGATTAGGAGGTGTGACCATATTGGGCTAGTGTGGTCTTATTGGGGGAAAGTGTGTCATTGTGGGTAGGCTTTGAGGTTTCAAGGACACAAGCCAGACCCAGTGTCTCTCTTTCTTCTGTCTGTGGATCCAGATGTAGAATTCTCAGCTCCTTATCCTGCCTGCATGCTGCCATGCTTCCACTATGCTGGTAATGAACTAACCCACTGAAACTGTAAGAAATTCCCAATTAAATGTTTTCCTTTACAAGTGTTGTTGTGGTCATGGTGTCTCTTCACAGCAATAGAACACTGGCTAAGGCAATACCATATTTGTCTTTTTTTTGGGAAGGTCTGGGTTACCTCACTGAGGATGTTTTTTTTCTAGCTCCATCTATTTGCCTGAGAATTTCACTCATTCATCCATCCATCCATCCATCCATCCATCCATCCATCCATCCATCCATTCATTTATCCATCCCTCATTCCTTCTTTCCTTTCTTCCTTCTTTCAGTGACCAAGTAATATTCTCTCCTGTGTAAATATTCTGTGTAAATGTACCACATTAAAAAATACAGTCATCAATTGACAGGAGTCTAGGCTGTTTCCAATTTCTGGCTATAATGAGTAGTGAGCGTAGCAATGACCATGAAAAAGCAAGTGTCTCTGTGGTAGGATGTAGAATCTTCAGAGTATATGCCCAAAAGTGGTATAGCTGAATCTTTAGGTAGATCTAGTTCCAGCTTGCCACACCCATTCCTATAGTGGTTGTATAAGTTTTCACCCCCCACTAGTGGATGAATGTACATCTTACTCTGCATCCTCACCAGCATGAGATGCCATATTGACCTTGGCCATTCTGACTAGTGTAAGCTGGTTTTGGTTTGCATTTCCCTGCTGACTAAGGATGTTGAACATTAAGTGTTTCTCAGCTATTTATGTTTCATCATTTTAAAACTCTTGGTTAGGTCTGTACCCCATTTTCAATTGGGTAATTTGTTTCCTTGATGCCATTTTTTAGATCTTTATATATATTTAAATCTTTATATATGGGATAGGCCTCTATCCTATGTGTAGTTGGTAGAAATCTTTTCCCATTCTACAGGCTGCAGCTTTATCCAAATGATGGTGTCCTTTACCATGCAGAAGCTTTTCATGAGGTCCCATTTAGTAATTGCTGATCTTAGTGCCTGTGCTGTTGGCGTTCTGTTTAGAAAGTCTTTGCCAACTCTGACACTGCTCCGGTG